AATTCTATTAAAGCAAATATATTGAAGTAATTATATTAAAGCTAACAAAACAATTATTAAGTAGAGATTGATGTTACTTACCTATGCCAAAAACCATGGGCAAATATCTTTCACTCAGCCTTGAGGAATAACCATCCCCACTCAAGGGAAGGATCTTCACACACCTTAGGGAGGTATTCTAGGAGTCCTTGCTGTGCAAAAGTGGGACTGCCTTTAAAGCATAAAGGGATTCACTGTCAGTCCTATGCATTTTTTAGATTATGTGTTATCAGGCTTACTCCACAAAATATGCTTTGTGCTGGAAGGGATGGTAGCAGCCCTTTAGTTTCCTTTGCTCAACACTTCTGACTCTCACTTCCACATTAGGACCTGCACATCCTTGCTGCTCCCAGCCTCAGTCAGGGAGCCTCTGTCTTACAGGTCCTTGTGGTGGGTTTGATAGTTTGGTCAAGCTGGTCTCATATTCTTCAACACTAAGAACAGCAGACCCTCCTCACTCAATCTTATCACTGATCAGCAGACTCTCCTTGCTCAGGCCATCACTGATAAACTTGTAAGACAAATTTCATCTAATCCCTGATTAGGCAGAGAGTCATGCTACAGGTATCTGTGAGAGAAGAAATCTAATGTAAAATTAGGACATGGATGGATATTTGTTTTTGTCTTTGCTAGTGTGTCATTTTCATGTAGTTAAGTGGGAATCTAATTCATTGGGTTCATATCTATTAAAGCTGCATCTCAGATTTCGGTTTTATTCTTAAGTGTGAAAGAGCACAGACTGTAGGTCAAACTGAATTCCTGCTGGTGAGTGATGCTAGGTATCACATCTTGCCAAAACAGGATCCCATTGCCACCTCACAGTCTATGTGGATTCCATCTGCTTTGCTTCTATTATTAGGCCATCTCAGATGATTCAAATATTTACCTCTTTATCCTTTTAAATTCAGGATTTGTCTTCAGCCCTCCCCCCAGTAAGTTGCATGTTTTGCTCCAGTTCTGCTGGTCTGTGAATTCTTTGTTTGGAGGCTGGCAAGACACCAGTTCTAGGGTGACAGATGGAGCAGACTGCAAACCAGGCAGCTGCCTCCTAGCCTGAATGATATTTTAATAAGCACAGAGAGGTGACAGAGAGAGGCGCTTCTCACTGGAATGACTGGCAGTTTTGTTTTCAGTCTGAAAGCACTAATAGATAATTTTTGGCCTCAGTCCAAAAAAAAAAAAAAAACCCACAGAAATCAGAAACAGAAAATCCTATTAGCTCCTAATTTATCCCTCTTCTTTTTAGGGTCAAAGAAGTTTTTTATGTCTGGTCTATTATCCAGATTGTTTCCCCATTTTTGGTATTTTAATTCTCTCTCAGGAACTGCATACTTTAGGAGACTTTCCTTTTATTTACCATTTTTTTTTCCTTCCTTTTTTATTATTTCAATTCCTTTTTTATTATTTCATTGTCTTCCTTCCCTAAATATTCCCTGTTCTTCATATTTCTTTACACTCTTCACAGGTTCATGTTGAAGTCTGAATAATGGGATCTAACAACTTGGCTTCTAGCTTCCACATCCTGTGAAACAGCCAGTGCAGTGCAAGGCAGTGGCATCTGCATAGGAATCTCTAGAGCATGTGTCCTCTTCTCCCTGCCCTTCAGTTGTATCTCAGTCGTATAATACAGGGTTTGTGTAGGGCTTTGTTTTATCCTTACAAATAAAAGCACAACAAAAGGGGGCTCTGGCAAAGCCCCAACAGGCTTTGAGATCCCTCTGCGTTGCGAGCAACACAGTGTTCTGCAGACAAACTGTAGGATAATCAGGCTTTCAAAGGAGGAGATTCTTTTTCTTCCAATGAGTACAGGTTAAAAAAGATCCAGCTCTTGCTAGGAAAATATAAGACTGGTGCTGGGATCTGAACTGAGGTATGGTCCCATACACTGCTCAGAGAACACACTGGAAACTTCTCAATACTTGGACATAGACCTTCATGGCTGCATAGCAAGTCTACAGATCTGGGTTTCAACTGGTGTATGAGCTGTAAATTAGTGGTATTCCTGCTAAAATATGCTTCTTTTTTCTTTCAGATACAATGATGTCACTGAATGCTCGGATCTTCTTTGGCTTCCTTTGCTGCATTATTTTTGTTCCTACAGATGGCTTCCCTGCAGACACCAGTACTGAATTTCGCTCTGCTTTCTCTGTGGCCAGAACCAGCAGCATGGAAGGAAGCTCCGAGATGGTTATTACCTTTGACAAAGTGTATGTGAATATTGGCAATGATTTTGATCCCAAGACTGGATTGTTCCGCTGTCGAATCCCTGGAGCCTACTACTTCTCCTTCACTGTTGGGAAATACCCAAAGAAAAACTTGTCTGTCATGCTGATGAGAAACAAGAATGAGGTGCAAGTAATTGTGTATGATGAACATCACCGCAAGGAACGGAAGGTAGCCAGCCAGAGTGCCATGCTGCAGCTTGATTATGGCGACACAGTTTGGCTGCGTTTACATGGAGATCCCAAGTATGCTCTTTACAGCAACGTGGGCCCCTATACAACTTTCAATGGCTACCTAATCTATCCTGACACTTCTGCCTTCTTCCAGAATGCTCTTAGCTCCCAAGAGCTGGGGCCACACCCTCACAAAATTCAGCAGCTTCCCAGAGAGCAGAGTGAAGCTTCACAGCGACACATGTTATCTGATCAACCAAACAGGGTACAAGACCCTCGTTCTGCATTTTCTGTTGCCCGCTCACAGAGTCTCCTGGGGACAGATAATAAGCAAACCCAGCACGAGCCAATCACATTTGACACAGAGTTTGTGAACATTGGAAAGGATTTCAATTCTTCCACTGGTATCTTCTCATGCCGTATACCTGGTGCGTACTACTTCTCCTTCACCATTGGCAAAATGCCCTTTAAGACTATGTCTGTGAAACTTATGAAGAACCACAATGAGGTACAGGCCATGATCTATGATGACAACCACTCCAAGAGGCGAGAGATGCAGAGTCAGAGTATCATGCTGCCTCTGCAATATGGGGACACGGTTTGGCTCTACAGCCATCAGCACGATGGCTATGGTGCCTATAGCAACCATGGCAAGTACATAACCTTCACGGGCTTCCTGATCTATCCAGAGGCTCAGCCGAAGCGGCTTTCAGGTGCCAGCTCACTTCAAGGGTCAAATAATTAAATGCAGATGTTAAAGGAGCATAAGAAGAGCCAAGATGCCATGAACTTGAGTATAGCTCCTCTTTGAATATCATCCTCTGCTTTGAGCATGCTATCATGTGTCCAGTGCTTTCCTTATGCTGCACGCTTTTGTGCCCTGTCTGCAGGGCCACAGCTGTGTCTGCCATTCATCTTTAGAGAGGCCTTTCAGATTGTACCTGCGCGTCCTGTGTTGGTGTTTGATTTATGCATAAAGCATGAGGTAGTTTTGGGGCAGGGGTGGGGCGGTGTAGTGAGATGCTGAGGATCAGAAAACCACTGCATTCATGTTACTGCATGATCCCCAGCATCCAGAGAGCAAAGGATGTGTTGACTTTCCTTGTATATCTGGGGAGGGAATAAATGTAATGGAAATGAATGTAATAAAAATACAAAAGACGTAAAATGTTCTCAGTTTGAAATTTGTTGCTACTTTGTAGCTTTTGTACTTGTTACTGGCTGAGGTACCAGCTCAGGTGAGAAAGCAGCATGGTGATTGTATGACCTGCATTATGTGTTACTGAGCCAGTCTGTCTGTGTACACTCTTTTTTGTCACTTGTGTGTGTGAAGGGTTGGTACCTCTTATGATTTAATTGTAAATTTCACAATATTTGGTGCTTTTCTTAGTCTGATGTAGATGAAGTCAAGAAGTTGTGTTTGAGAATTTCAGCTTCCATGTCATGGAAAGAATACATATAGAAACAAACAAAAAAGTAGGCTTCTAGCCTTTGTACTGAAAGATGAGGGCTTAAATCCAGGAACAGACCATCCTGTGAAAGTTTGGAAGCAAGATAAGTATGAAGAAAAAAAATGTATTTTTAAATCTCTGAAGATTTGGGTCAAGAGCAGGCTCATAATGTGTAAGTGTGAGTAGTATCATGCCATGCACTGCTGACTGCGGGGGCATTACATTTCCCAGAAATGAGTCCCTTGAATACGAGGGTACTGCTAACCTGCCATGTGCTGCATCGATAGCCTAGTGCAAGCATGATCAAAGGAACCATGAAGTGATGTTTTCAGCACCTGTGTTCCAGTGTTTTCTTACACACTATGTTCTCCCGAGCTGTAGTGCAACTGTAGGGAGGCCATTGTGGCTGTAGAGGACCCTGCTGTGTTCCTGTGGTTGGACGGACAGACAGACAGGCAGTCGGCAGGATCCATTGAGGAGGTAGTAGGAGCAGAGGAGTCTGGAGGCTTCATCGTGGCACCACTGGTGCTGTTTCAGTTGAGCTAAACTCTGTTTTTTCTCCCTAAAGGACATAAACTGCAAAAGTGCATCCTTTCAAGCATGCACAAAACTTTGCGACATCACTTGAGTTGAATTTATAATCTGCTCAACAGATAGCAATGCTCTTAAACTACTACTAACAAAATCCTGAGTTCGAAGCAGTGTATTTGCATCTGAGTCATAAGCCAACCCACTCAGCCTTTATCCATACGTTCATATGGCTCAGACTGTATATTCTCCAGCCAGATAGTATTTTCATGCACTAGTGCCATGTTGGCTCAGCTTTTAAATATTTTCTGCTCAAACTGGACTTAACTGCAGCCACTCACTGCCTCTGTCGCTCCATACATATCCTAGATGTTAAAGACTAGGGGCATGTTTGGCAAAAGGATGACGGGTAGATATTGGAGGTATGTAAAAAAACAGCATAAGAACAGTAGAACATTAGATGGGACAAGAAGTTTTACTTCAAATAAAATTCTGATCTTAATTCCTACACCTTTTGGAGTGAAAAACAAACAAGTCCAAGCACAAAGCAAAATGAAACAAATAAACACACAAAACAAAAAAATCAGCAACAACCAACCTGCTTTATTGACTGTGTAAATCTGTCTCCTCCTGTCATAGCCCTAACCTGACCTCTAAAACCGTTGTCTGTGACATCTTGCTTCCAGGCTTCTTGTTCCTGCCTTACTATTTCTCTTCTCCATCTGTTGGGCTGCAATTGCTTGGAAGAAGATTAACTAGGTCAAAAGCTAACAGTTGCCACTTTGAATGTCGCACATGCCTCTTTTGTTGAGGCTGGAAAAATTATAGAAAGGGAATTAGGGATTCCATCATCTAAGCACATGTAATAAATATTCAAAATTAATATATCTCTAGTGGCAGTGGGAAACCTAGTAGAAACAACAAAAAAGAAAATCAAAATCCTCCTGAGGAGATAATTACATTTATTTAATTCCAAACTGCAATTTTTAAGACAAAGATATGTTAATTATATTTTTCTGTGAAATGATTGTATTTCTGATTTTGAGGATAGAGATTCAATATTTATTATGTTTGGCTTGTAAAGTGCCATAACTGTACAAAAAAAACTTTATAGAAGAGAGGCAAAATCTGCTGAAGAAATATCTAGGTCACAATCCTTCAGAATTTAAATGAGATTTCAGGAAGTATATTCCAAACTGATAACTGAAACAAAGCTGTGTATGTGTGTAAATATGATATGCAAACGCTAGAAAGCTTCATGGAATACATACATTTTCAGGTTGCTTTTTAAAGAAAAATGAATACATGAGATGGGAAATTATTATTGACATATAAAATGTGATGCCACATGAGCAGAAAAATGAAATTAAATATGTGAGCTGTATCATGAAAAACAGCAAAATCTGCTTAGCTGCTTACTGGAGAGGAGAAAAGATCCTGTATTTGGCTGAAACCACTGGGAGAATATAAGGAGGCTGAACTGAATGATCTGAAATGCGGTCAGCTAGGACACCAGCATAACATCCTGGAAAAATACTTCCAAGCTCTCTCCCCTGTAAGCATCAGTGATCAAGATGGATAAGACATCTAAGTAGCACTGCCGCCCTCAGAACACACCACTTAGCAAAAAATCAGGAGAGGTAAAATGCACTTTATAGTTTTGTCTTTTTTCTTTTAAAAGTAAAAGGTTGTGTATAAAGTCTTATAGGGTTGCCAGTACAGTGCAGAAAGCAGGACAAAAAGGTGTGGTATATTTGTACAAAGTCCTGCATAATGTAGAAAGCATTGAAGATAACCTAGGATGCAGCTGAAGTCAGATGTGTCCTTTCCTATGGTAGTTTCCCTCATTAAGTGTCTTTCTTGGTCCTGGGCAAGTTAGAATGATAGAAGTGTTTCAGGGATGCTAAATGCAAAGGCTTCTCCTTCCAAGGCCAGGAAGCCAGGAGGAGGGTGGTATTTGCAGGGCAGAGCCCCTTGCACAGGTCACGAAAGACTTCATCAACCAGCTGAGAGAAAAAATGAATCCAGAGATTTTTATCCAGACCCTGCATGGAACGAACCTGATAGGCAGAGTATACACTAGTGAAAAGGAGGCGGTCAAATTCTGTTAGAGGTAAGGGGGTATCAGTCAGCGAATAATATCTCAGATGCTGCTCAATCTCTGATGGTGTTTTGGGAACCTCATCCTCTAAAATCTGCAGGAACCGCCGTGCTGGGCGCAGGGAGGCCAGCTCTTCATCCTGTAGCCGGATTGTCCCGTTGGCCTGAATATCCAGCCTTCCCCAGAGCATCTGGAAGAGAGGAGCATCATGCGAACAGAAAGCCCAGCACAAACCCTCCATCAGCTACAAAGGAGCTGTAAAGCCATCTGCAGTGCTGCCAAATCTCGGGCGGGTCGGGAGGCAGCTGCTCCCTGACTCGCTGCCCAGGGCACACCCAGTCCCACTCCATGTCCTTCTCTGCCAGCACCACACCCCTTTTCTGACCAGCCCCACAGGTCCCCATGGGACCTGTCCAGCTCTTGCCTTCTGCCCAGCCTCTCCCCACGCAGTTCCATCTGCAGCAGCTCCCCAGTGCAGCCACCTTGGGCAAGGTGCTTGGCCCTTTTTGAGGGAGTCACCGAACCCAGCGGGAACGGTCTCTTGTCCCACCCTGGGGGTGTGAGGTGCCACGGAGCAGGGCAGAGCCCCCTTCACCTGCACCCCACAATGGGAGGGAGCACAAATGCAATTAGGCATTGCCGAGGCGTTCTCAAGGGGCTCCTGAAATCCATCAGGGAGGAGAACAAACAGAACAGGTGAGTTTTTACATGCAGATAGGTGGGAGCACAGCCACTAGCAGTGCCTCGGCCCATGGGCCCCCAGTGCTCAGGAGACCTCTAACATGATGTTGGCGTCCTCTGGGCTGCGGTGAAGGGTGTTGGTCCCACTGTGAGGATGTTCATCTGGAAGACATCAGGAGAGTTTGGTAGTGCAAGACCTTCCTGTTTATGTTTTCAGTATTTCTGAGCTACCACTCATAGCTTGCCAAACATGATAGATGCTGTCCAGGGGATTTTGATAAGCATAACAAGCTTTTTAAGAGAAGCAGCAGTGGTTAAGTGAGGCAAGGGAAAATTTTGGATATCATGGCCCTTAATCCCTCCAATAGAGCTAAGGCATACAGCAGCAAAGGCGCTTGGTTTGACAGGCCACAAGGAAGCCTCTCACCCAAGTATGGGTGGTTTTTGAACTGACGGGTTTTGTTTGCTTGGTGGTTTTTGCTAGAGAAAGTAATGCTGCCCAATGGAAGTGGGGAGCTGAGAGGCTCCTCAACCTGCTTGTGAAAACATAACCTGATGCTTATCCTGGTTCTATACTTCTTCCCTCTAAGCTTCTGCCGCTGGCAGGGGCAGAGTGTGAGGGCAAAAGAAACCTTGTCAGATCCATTATGGCTCATTTCATGTCCAGCTAATTACTTGCTGGGCCACATGACACCACGTGAAGTGTAAAAAATGTATATGAGGCCAGAGGAATGGTAGTTTTTGGATAAGAAAATCACATTAACCCTAATAATTGTTTAGTTATTATTTAATAATACTTCTAATGCTTTAACTTTCTGCATTTATTTTGCCTTTGTTATTCCTTTCTTTGTGAAAAAGGAGGCACAAGCAGTCTTGGTCCAGGACTGTGAGAGAGGCTACATCCCTGCCCTTCTCTATGTTGATCAGTGCCATCATGTAGCCAAGATCCTCTTCTACTTCTTACATACTCATCCTTCAGGTCAAGAAATATAAAATGGAAAAGGCTTGTCTAAAATAGTAAGCTCTCTGACACATTTTGGTTTGGTTTTGGTTTTGTTTTTTTCATTTTTATATGAATGAAGACTTTTTTATATGAAAATAAAAGAGTGAGAATTTATATTGAATACTCCAGAGTTAAGGTCAGCAGGTGCATATAAAAAGTCGCAAAATTATTCAGTACTCTTTGTGTGTGATGACCGTTACCAAACACTGCTTCCAACTTCCTGTTCTTGATTAATGCTTTTCAGGGAGATGTACGAGCTGCCTGAAGAAGTGCACTGCCACCCCGCAGGCTGCAGAGGTTTGTTTCTCTGCACAGCTGCAGGCTTCATGATCCAAGCCAGCTGTGGCTTTGGAATGTGAGCAGGGACGTAGCTTGTCTTCTCTACTCCTCCATAGATGTGCCAGCAAGACTTTTAGCTCAGGTAAAAATATTATATCATCTGAAAATTTTGTCACTGGTCTTTTCTCTACTAACTGATCCTCTAGGTTCACAGATCCCTCTACTGAGAATGTCTGACTGTCTGCAAAGTGCATTTGTTGAATAGATGCCAAACTTCTGTTATTAGTAACTGCCTCATAAATACACACAGTGGTAGATTTTTGAGTAGAGAAAAATTAAACAAAGCATAACAAATAATATATTGAAATAATAATGTAAATATCCTCTGGGGAATGGAAAATAGTTCCTTACTTATCACTCAACAGGTTTGGGTTTTTTTCTCCAAAAAGTATATGGAAAATCCACAAACATTATTGCAGGAGCAGGGTTTTTTCCAGTGGAGACCCGAGAAAATCCTCCCCTTGCCAGCAAAAATATCAGCAGGTCTTCAGCCTGCAAGTAGGTTACTGATGCCTCTCCCAGCAAACCCCCCAGCTGGACTCCAGCTCTCTCCCATGCCAGTACAGCTACCTGAAGCTTCTAATCATATTTGAGGAAGCAGGCAAAACATCACACAAATGGCATTGCACAGATGTTTGTCGAGCCAAGAAGCCACGTCACCAGCAGATGCGTTTCCTACCTGTCAGTTTCTGGGATCCAGCAAACACACACAGGACCAGCCAGGCGCTGAACTGTGCCTGGGCCATTGCAGCTCTGCCCGGGAGCAGCTGCCACCCGCTCCACAGACAGTGCTGTGGAGCCAGAGTTTGCTGTGACGTCTTCCCTTGCTGCTCCTACCCTCAGCAGCCTCTCTTGGAATGGATCCATCTTTCTGTGTTTCTGGTTGCAGTCCTGGGAAGGGCTTGCAGTTCAGCTTGCTGACCCTGAAGGATATTTTCCATCATATTTTGGAAACTTGGAAAACTTAGTTGTTTTTGGCAGAACTGTTTAAACTTCTTCTCCAAAGAATGACTTCCCACTGCAATGCCTTAAAGAAAGCTATTAGTTGCAAGAAATTACACTGCGTATGTTTGCCTCAGAAGAAGGGAGGACCTCCTAGTCCCTTCCATATCTGCACAGTGCCTCTGTCACATCTCTGTGACACTTCTGCTCAGCTCCTTGGCTTCATTTTCAGTTTTCCTTTTTCCCAGGTTTGAAAATCTGTAAACAATCCTGAAATGTCACAAACAAATAAGGTCATCAGACTGCAGTCTCGTGGAAGGGTAGCAGCAGCCAAAATATACAAGCAGGCAGTAGAAATATCATTGGTTCAGTTCTCTATCAAACCTCCTGGAGGGAGAACTCAGTAAACTGATCTAGCAAACAAGAAGTATTGAAGTCCCTGAGGCTTTAGCATCTCATTGTCCTCTGCTGTGACTGGATTTCTGGGTTACAATGGGCACAGTCTGCCTTAGATGTTGTGAATTACATAGACAAAACTTTGTCTGATTCCCTTTGCAGCAGATATGTTTTCTACACATCTTTACACTTTCATTAGTGCCCTATCCCCAGTCAAGCTGTTCTGTATTTCTACTCTGTATGCCACAGTATGGGATGCTAGGGTTATACAAATATGTAATAGCATGTATAAATAAGTAAAAATACCATCTCCCTCAGGTTAAAGGGAGAAAGAAATCTGCATAGAAAAGAGATGAAGTAGAGCTGACATGCATCCCTTTCTCAGCAAGTTACAGAACATCAGTTTGTAGTGATTACTGTCACCAGAGAGTTTACTGAGGGTTGGGATGATGCCCCAGTTAGTAAGTTGTCAGTGTGCAAAGGACTGCATCTTCTGAAACTTTCAGGATCTGTACCTGTACCTGGCAATACATGGGCTCACACCAGCTAAGAGAAGCAGCACATAATGGGAGAGTCGCAGACTAGTCGTGGGAGAAGTGGCCCACAATATCCAGAGCCACTCTTACCCTCAGTTTGGATTCAAAATAAGACCTGTGTTTGTCATAGCCTTAGCTGTCTTCCAGTCAGGTGGTGCTGCTTTTGTTTTTCATTATTTTCTGCTGCTTGTGCTTTAGTTGCATCCTTTTCTTCTGGAATGTGGTATCTTTTATTAAAAAGTGAATCACAAGCTCATAAAGCAGATACTGGTGGCTGGTCTGTGCAGTGAGATTGATGTGCCTTCTGCTTTGTGTCAGAGTCCCTTACGGTCCACAGTGTGCACAACTTTGTCTAGAATTCACTACGCAAATACCCCTGTGTCTCACAGGCCATGAAATAGCCTCCTTTAGCATGCAGCACATGACAAAAGGAGGAGCTCGGGATTTTGGCCAACATCTGCGAGGGCTGTACATGATTTTGTCTCCCCCAGGAGAATTTCCTAGGGACAGCTTGCAGCTGAATTGCCTAGAGGAGGATACCCCTGTAGGTGGGAGGGAGAAGAGAGGAGGCTCAGAGTCTGTGCTCAAGGTGACTGATACAGTGGCAGGCAAGGCACAAGCATCAATGTGGATGTTGCCTTGAGCTAGGGGAATTTTGTAGAATTACCTCACTATCCCACACAGAAAGGCAAATGCAGAGTGGTAAACTGTCTGTACAACAGCAATACTTGCAAAGAAACAAGCCTGAGCTTCTGACAGCTGCCTAGAGTCCCTACATGTTTGGCAGTGCACCTACTCCTCCTGAAGGATTTTGTCCTTGCCAGATATTCACAGCTGAGTGTGCACAACCCTTCCTCTCTGCACTCCCCTGGTCATACCGTCTGTTGTCAGAGCAGTTTCAAAACGTCATAACAAGCCAGTTTTACGCAGGGGCACCTTGACTGGTTTCATCTTTTTCACCACGACCTCCTGAAGCAGGAAGATGGGAAATGGGAACAAGATAAGAGGGATCAAAAACTGCAGGAGCTGGTTGGATGCTGTTGAGGCACAATGTGTGATTAATACAGCATCAGAAGAGCCTCTTTGGGAGGGAAGTTTCTTTGAAATGGGACTGCAGGGAGAGAGACAGCATATTCACAAAAAGGAAATTCTGCTTATAGAATTGGAGAAATCACTTGCTTCAATCATCCCACGCAGAACTTGGGAAGATCATAGTCACCTGGGTCTGTCTGGCAGGTGCTCAGGGGAGAAAGATTAGGAGAAGAAGTCTGAGGAAAGAGGGAAAGGAAGAAGGACATACATGGCTCCCAGAGAAGGTGAAGTTTGAGTCACTGAAGGGGAAGAAGGAAGAAAACCTTGAGGAAAGTAGGAGTGAAGTGCTGACCATAACCAGACAGGACCTCTGTTACACCACTATTTTCCAGATATGGTGCCGGTCCTTATGCAGATGCTTTCCTTGTCTTTTTCTTCCAGTTTATAAGAGGCATCCACTGCTTGAAGGACTAATGAGCTATGTAACAGTGACAAGGAAGGCCCCATCCCACTGCACCTACTGCACCAACAGACTCCCTCAGGCCTTGCACAACTTGGAGAAAATGTCATGGGATGCAGCATAATATGTGGCATGCTGTTATCCAGCCTGTCCTTCGGTAGTCCCATAAGCTCCGTTCTGCAGGAGTGCTAGGCTCAGCTGGAGTCCCCATCTGGATTTTGACTGGAGATCAATTATAAGGCCTATACCAACTGTGTGGCCATGATGTGGGTGGACACTCTGACACTGTCTACAGCCACACGCTCAGGGAGGAGAGTCTGCTAGCCTGGCTGTACAGAGAAATGCCAGTGTTCTAGAAAACACCAGTGAAACCTACTCAGCTGGGGAAGCTCAACATGGTGACTGTGAGTCATCACCTAAAGTCTATTTGTCCCTGTAGTATCAGAAAATCTCTCTTCTAAACAGTGTGTCTCTAAGTCTGCTACATCTGACTTTAATCTCATCCAACATCCTCCTACACTTGAGGAATCCAACACAGGCAAACAAGCCCTGTGGAAGCTGGCAATGCAGAACAAGCAGGGACACAGGATTCGGAAGACAGCTTGGTGCTTGACCAAGATGACCACACCGTACCCAGTACGAGGCAAATGTCCACCAGCCACGAGGAAGCCAGAGTGAGGAGGCTCCATAGGCAAAAATGGCCCCTGGAGATCAGGAGCAGTGGAGGAGGAGGTAGACTGCCAACACTGGCAGTACTTAGTGAGGCTGTGTAACCTCTTGTGCCCTGGGATAATGTGTCTGGGTGAGTAAATTGTCATCTTCATGATCTTCCAGGCTAAGCTTAAGAGAAGTGATTTAGCTCCATTAGCAACTATTCCACATATTAAAGACCTACTGGAAGCAATGCCTGTCCCCATGGGGCCAGCTGATTTTCCAGTACATACATTCTTGAGCAAAGCTTGTATGTTGTCTAACTTAACAGGGCATTGTGTCTAACATTTCTTGATGTTCCATCAATCAAATTCTCCCTCTGCACAAATGTCGTGTTTAAATGGCAGATTTCCTGCTACCATCAGTCTTCTGACTTATCGTACTGGGAAATTTTTTATAATACAGAGACCACGAGTGGTCTATGGCACCTCAAGCAACCTGGGGATGAAGAACAGAGAGAGGATATGTGTTTCATAAAGAATTTTCATGGTAACAGAAGTGATGCCAGGAACTTTTCTGTCTTGTGCAATAGGCATCAGCATGCTATGAGAGCTGCTGCAACAGAAAATAGAACCAGCTGTGGAACATCTTGTAGTAAGAATTAAAAGTGCATTTCCTATTTAATCAGCTCAATTGATGGCAGACCCAAAGTAGAGCTAAGAATTGTACAAAATCCCACACTTCTGCTGTTTTGTGTTCCATTTTCATTCCCATGTAGAGCTATAGCTTTTAAGGTGAGCAGCAAATGCTATTAATTTTAACCAGAGAACACTGTTGAGTCACATCTCAAACACTGCTGGCCACAGCAGCCTGAAATAAAATTAAAAAAAAAAAAAAATTTAAGTAACCCATGCTTACAAGGCTGGAGTGAAAATAATCACAAACCCCAATTCTTAGCAGTTTAGCCTTTACTCTTGAAAACAGATCACATAATTCTAGCCACAGTGAGTAGATGGGTTTTTTTCTTAATTGAATGTACTATTGTCCTATCTTTCCTCCATCCCATACTCTAACATCCCTCGAACCTCTATTTTATTTAGTACTTTTACAATTTAAAAGCTTAAGTAGTTATTCAGGGAATCTCTACAGCTTGTGGATTATTTTATGAAATCTCTTATACAATAGTTTTCAGATCTTAATGAAGCCAGTTAGCTTTCTGATGCAGAACTGCACTATGCATTTTCCAGACCAAGGACAAGGGACATTATGAATTGATGACTGTCAATGAACTACAGTGTACTTCCAGCTTTTTTGGAGAAAACTGAGATTTTCCATAAAAGCAAAGAAAGTGTTAATGCTATTATATCATTAAGCTCAAAATAATTGGAATAGTGACAAAAAGGCACCGACTCTTGTCTATGAGATGAAGAAGATATTTTTGGCTGCAGAAAAGAAGCACAATCTGAAGACGTTGGAAGGAAGTAAAGACTGCTTGATTGTGAACAAAAAGCCACCATGAGGGAGTGTCAAATCAGAGGTTATCTGCAATTCCTGTCTGGAGAAAAGGGACTGACCTAATTTCCATGGAAACAACACAGAGATTTCCATAATTGTTTTGGTCTGGATCCAGGTGTATTTGTGTTGTCCTAATAAGAACTGCATTATAATCATTTATAAAAGCTTTGCATGTCTGCCATATTATTACCATTTTCCCAACACCCATCCTGGAAAGCTAAGATACTGCTGTCCCACTGCTTAAGCTCCACAGTTGCTTCAGTACAGTTTCCTAGCGAGCACTCAGGTTACGACTTATGCCTGCAAGGACTGCTAGCAGTAGTGTATACAGAACACCTTAGCCACAGGGAATGCCTGCACTCTGTTCAATTTGCAACTGTTGTTTTACAACTCAAAGCATCAGATAAACATCTACTAGTTGGATTATCAGGATTGTAAGTGAGCATTCCCTCACCTTGTGCTTTTCATCTAGCTGGAAAACATTATTCATGAGTTCACACCAGACAAGTATCTCATATGAACTTTTATTATTATAAATACTATGTTAGAACAGAAAGGATGGTGCCGGGCATCCGCTCTGTTCTGCTGTTATTTTGTGTCTTCTTTCTTGGCTCCTGCTTCTATTTTCAGGGGTTCTGGAGCTGCACGATAGGCAGGAAATGCCTCCCATGGACTATTCAGATCAAACTTGCGAAATTCCTGAGACAGCTCCACAGGCTCTGCCACTACCCGTTTCACTTCATCATCATATCGCACCTAGAACAGTGCAAAGGACACAACCAGTCATTTTCACCCAGTCCCAATAGCATCTGTGATGAGCCGTACACAGTCATGACCCACACCACCCTCCAGTGCAGGGAATTCTATTCCTTACGCCATGGATAGCCCACAGGCCTCTGCCACAGCTTCAGTTCTCCTCATTACTAAACAAGAACCCTCCATATGCTACTAAAATCTCTGGACTCTCCAGGAAAACACTCCTCTTTGCTACCATGCACCTCAGGTGTCAAGACTAACCGCCTAGAATTTGGAGTGCTCAGCCTAACAGTCCAGACGAAGTTCACATGGAATAACACTTTTAGTTTGTCATATGACAAAGGAATTTCTCCTGAGTCACTGAAATAAGGTGACTGGGCCTGGCATAGCTGAGACTACACTCATGAATCCTTATAATATGGCATTTGTTTGGTTTTAGTTGTTCTAATTTTTAGCATAACACTCAGAACATGGGGAAAAGATTACAAATGGGATGAAATGCAGGTGAGTACCAGACTCTTCTGATTGGCTTGCTTTATCCTCACTGTGTTAGTCCAAATCTCCCAACCCCAGCTCAGGAGATGCTGCCTGGTCTTCACTTCTGCAATTCCGTTGCTTAAAGAACCTCACTGTTTCCTTCTGAGACAACTCAGTCTTAAAACTGCACAAAATATTGTCTGTTTCTGAAAGGCGGTCATTTGAAACTAGGCAGATACCAAACACTCATTTCACCTGTGGTTTGACATACACAAGTAAATGATAATCACAAGAGTCAGTTTAACTAGTTTTATAAACTGGGCCTACAAAAGCTCAACAAAGTAAAGTTCTAAATGAATTAAGAACAACTCAGTCCTTTACCCCTCTAGAAAGGTTCAGTTTTGCAGTGGAAACTTTAATCTTCTAGAAAACATGCTAAACGAATTTCAGGCACTTTCTCTGCCTGACAGGTATCTTTGGTATATTATATGGCACATAACATTTGCTCAATGTCTTTGGCCTTAGGCTGCCTTATTATGGATAATACTTTGTGTGATACTTCAAATTTCCATGCAGGAGATCTCTACAACTCCTCTGGAATACACACAAATGAAACATCCTTAGTACCTTTCAGACAAATGACTGTAAAGCAGTCACATCTTTGTATGAAAACTCAGATAAGAGTATTAGAGAGACTTGATAACTTTAGACATGACTGTATCTCCTACCTCCACGTAACCAGAGAGCGGGAAGTCCTTCCGGAAGGGATGGCCCTCAAACCCATAGTCTGTGAGGATTCGCCTTAGGTCAGGGTGGTTGGCAAAGAAAACACCATACATGTCCCAAACCTAAATGAAATGGAGCCAAGTAAGTTCAATGATATTTGAAATAAAAAAAAAAAGCCAAAAAGCTGCATGTATTATGTCCGTAAAATTTCAGTTACGTGCCTGGCTTTGTACAGCACCAGCAAAACTGATCCAAGAATTAATTCAAAAGCAAATCACTCTTTTATCCCCTACTCTGAAAAGGCAGCGAAGGAAACACTTCTTTCTTCCTGAGGGCCCTGGGAAATCAATTTAATCAGGAAAATACAGCCTCTCTCCACAAAGACTGTTCCCAAGCACACCAGCACTCACCTCTCTCTCATACCAGTTTGCTGCCTTGTGCACGGACACTGCTGAGTCAACAGGTGTCAGCTCATCTGTGTATGTCTTTACACGGATCCGACTGTTGAACCGCAGGGACAGCAAATTGTACACAATCTGAATCAGAATAAAAAGCAGCATTGGTCTTGTATGGCATTTATGGATCTCTCTGCAGTACAGCACTGGCTAAGGAAACCACACAAAGACTATTTCAAATATTTTTTATGAGCAGAATCACATACAGCATTTTAGAGCTGGCCACTAAATGACACTATAACAACTGAGGTTCCAATAGTTTATCACTTTGGTCCTTAGAAGTGTAACAAAAATGATGTGAGATTTAGAAAGCATGACTGATGAAGAAGAATTGAAGTAAAGAGGAATACTAAATCTTGAAAGAGAGAATACTGAAGGGATGGAAACACTTGACAATAGTCTATCTCAAAGAAAATGGCTATCAACTACTAGTGCAATTACTATCAGTGGGAGAAGGTGAAGAAGAAATACACTGAATTTTACAGATCAAAGTGAAACTATAATAACATCTTTGCAACAATACTGTGGACAAAGCTTTCTCATAGTAGGTGAGAAGAGAATATGCTGAGTCTGTAGTTTCACAAAAGCTGTATCTTTTCTTTTTCTATTTGCAGCTGAGGTTTTTCTGCAGCTGAAAAGCTATACAGTGATACGTTCAAAAGCATCTGTGGGAACCAAATCTCCAGTATCCACTGAAAGTCAGTCAAAGTTCAGTGCCCAAAATCTTCTGAGAGCCTTCTGAAAATCTGCCTCATCTCCCATTTGGCCTTAACTTTAAAGAAATGTTTTTAAAACAACTAAATAGGGGTTTTTTTTGCTTTGGGTTTGTTTTTTTTTTAGGGGAAAATTTTTTAGGAGGCCTGTTGGGTTTTAAGGAAAACCGTTTTTTTCACCGGCATTTGTTGGGCTTCCGGGGAGGATTGTTGGGCCGCATTTCCCACTTGGCCGGAAGGAGTTTTGAGGCCTTTTGTTAAGGTTAAAGGAATTCAAGGGAAGAAATTTAAAGGAAAAAAAAAGAGACTTTTAGCAGAGTGAGGAAAGGAAAGCCAGACTAAGAACCCATGTAGTATCAGTTCTGCTACTACTTCCATGATTAACAGATTAAACAAAACCCAGCATTTCAGAGTGGATTTTCTTCTCACTGTCAGAAACCAAAAAAGTGATCAGAGCTGCAACCAGTACCCACAGCCGTCAGCACTTGTGAAACCCTCTAAGTTCTGCACCTATGGGCAGTTCTTACCTCAAAGCGATACTGCCGAGATGGGACATCAACAGCAGTCAAGTCAGCCAAGGATTTGAACTGGGCATTGGTGTGATCACGAAGGAAGGTCAGAACTGGAATGATCCCATCTGGATGGATCAAAAGTTCCAGCTCATTGAAACAGGTCACCTGACAAAAACAGAATGGTGAGTGGGAAGGGCATGAGTACAAACACCAACAGGACTGAACATTATGCTGATTCCAGCAGAATACTCAAAGTGGTACAGCAGAAACAAAATTACATCAGAACAAGGTGTCTAATAATAGCAGTAATTTTCATGCAATTCTGACAATTTTTCTTCCGCAGAACAACTTTTGAAAACAGCTAACAAGCAAGTGGTGCATTGACTGGGCCCCGTCCCGCCACAAGAACAATTTCTGAACAGCACCTACCTGTACTTGCTGGATATACTTGGGCAGAATCTCAGCCACATACTCCCCAAAAGCACATAGCTGCTTCTGTTCTACTTCATTTTTTGGTCTGACAGTAGCTAAAGAGAAAAACAAAGTCTTCAAGATTACAATAGGGAATACAGAAAGCTATAGAAAAAAGAGTAGCAAGTCCCATCCCTGACTTAAAAATCCCTTTAACCAGTCTAGCTGTCTGTCAGAGACTGGACTTTAGCAACATAGTGTGCTACAAAAAACACAGAACTAGACACTTTGATAAGGAATGAAATTTGTGTCAGTACTACATGGAATTTTTTTTTGTGGACTCTAAACAGAGCAGGAACAGTCGAAAAAGATGACACAGAAGAAAGTACCAGGATGAAAAAGAGGAAGGCAGAAATGACAGAACAATATGAACTTAGATACTGCTTATGTGATTCAACCTGGGTCTAGAAAGGATCTTGTTTTCTGGTGTTGTTTGATCTGCCAGCATCTAAGCAACTTCTTCATAATTAAAACACAAACAACAGGTTGTTGTCTGGGGTTTATTTTCACTGTTGGTATGATTACAAACCCTCAAGATTCAGGGCAACGAGGAACTATGAAGCTGCTGTCCAGATACAGAAAGAACAGGTGGACCCACAAGAACGGATGCACATGGGAATCCAGGGCAAGCACGGGAATCCAAAGCAGGGTTACCCCATTTTCTGCACAAAATTTGGGTTTACGCGCGACAGGTCCCAACCCTTTCCCGACACCCTTCCCTTACACTAAAGCGGTTCTATCGCCCAGGAACGTCCTTGGGGCAGCTCAGCGCCCTCCCGCGGAGCCAGCGGCTGGCAGGGGCACAGCCGCACGCCTCGGGCTCCCCGCCGCCCCCCGCCAACAAACCGGCCCCGCACTTACGGCGAGTCTCCCCGGCAGAGCTCCCCGCCAGCCGGGCCCGCGCCGCCGCCGGTGCCGCGCCAGCTGCGGAGAAAAACGGACACGTCTCACCGACCGCCGCCAACCGCCCGGCCCGGCCCGGCCCGGCCCGGCCCGGCCGCCGCCCCCCGGGACAGCCCCCGAGCCCCGGGCGGCCTCACCTCGTAACGCAGCCCGCGCCAGGCCCCGCGCCGCCACCGCCAACATCCCGCCGGGACACGGAGGGGCAAGGGCACGGGGCGGAAGCGGAAAGCGCCCGCGCCACCGCACTGCCCCCGGGGGCGGAAGCGAGCAAATAGCTTCCCGGGGACGGCGCCGGGTCGGTGGGCGGGAGCGGCGAGTGCCCGGCAGCGCCTGGCGCACGGTGAGGAGCAGGAGCAGCCGCTGGGGCACCCCGGGGCGGCGGCATGAAGGGAGGCGCCGCAGGTGAGTGCTGAACTGCGGGGCCGGGGCGGGAGCAGTGCGACCACCGGCCCGGGGACGGGGCAGCGAGCGGCGAGGAGGGCGGGGGGCGACGGCAGCCCCCGGGGCTGAGCCAGCGCTGCGGGGCGAGGGAACGCGCTGGCGCTTTGCACGGCGCCAGCATGGGCCTGATGGGGGTCTGCGCATCTCCGAGGATTAGCGTTTCTTCCTTCCTTCCTTCTCCCCGCCCCGGACCGTGAGGTCGCTGTCAGTTTTGTTTGAGTTCCGCGATCCTGGGCGCTGCCGCGGCATCCGCGATCCTGTCAGGAGCAAGGAAGAAAGTAACCTGGAGCACAGGTCCTATGAGGAGCGGCTGAGAGAGCTGGGGTTGTTTATCCTGGAGATAAGGAGGCTCAGGGGTGACCTTATAGCCCTCTACAACTACCTGAAAGGAGGTTGTAAGCCAGGTAGGAGTCGGCCTCTCCTCCTGAGTAATTAGTGACAGGTCGAGAGGACATAGGCTTAAACTGCACCAGGAGTGGTTCAGGTTGGAAATTAGGAAGAATTTCTTCACAGAAAGGGTGATTGGACATTGGAAAGGGAGCTGATGGAGTTACCATCCCTGGTAGGTGTTTAAGGAAAGACTGGATGTGGCACTTGGTGCCATGGTCTAGTTGACACGGTGGTGTTTGGTCATAGGTTTGACTTGATGATCTCTCAACTAAATGGATTCTGTGATTCTGTGAAGGACGTGTGCCAGGTGTTGGTTACACAGCTATCACCAGTAGCCTGGCCTACGGAATACACACAAATACACGGAGTGTAAGATTCGGCTTTATGGGACACTTAACTGTCCTCCACACCTTTTTCTTTTGTATCAGAGACACCATGGATGCGAAGGGGAGCTTTGTGTTGCAAAGAAGGATGTGAGATTTGCAGCAGTCTTTAGTTGCTGTTGGCATATCTTTTGTGACTTGGTACCAGTCCTCTGGGGATTTTGGAGGGCAGTGTGGGAAGCTGGTTCTGTCGTGTCAAGAGGGCACGGTAGTTCATCCCTCTGTATCCTGGTGTGCTTCGTTATCTCTTCAGCATTCTGGGCTTATCTTCTGAGCACTGTAAGGATAAAGAGCTTTAACGGAAGTAGAAGATAATTTGCAGGATAGGCTCATACTTGCTAAAGCTGGAAAAAATAGTACTGATGTCTACTGTGCTAATTGAAGTTCCTCAGTCTCTTACAGACTAATGTATAGGTATTTTTCAGGCAGACCGAAACTACTGTAAAATCGTGGTAAGGGTATAATTAAGATAGGCCATTACCAGAGATGGGATAGACTTGTCCTGGCAATTAGGGATGTAGACATTACTTTCTGTGAACTGAATTTGAGCTAAGAACTTAGGAGCTGTCCTGTATCAAACAGAGCTATTGTAAGAAAATGCATGTTTGACAAAATAAATCATGGAAGAATAACTATGAATCTCCTGGAGAAAAATCATATCTGTGGGAAACATTGAACTGGAAATCATGTTCAGTATTGACTGAAGAAATTTGTGATATCAGCCATCATGGCTAATAGTTCAGTTGTAAAAATAAGTTTAAAGTGAATGCAAGTAGGCAACTATTCGTTCTTAATGCTGTCAAGAGCCAAGCTAAAAAAGAGCTCCTTCCTATAGCAGTCTTCATTTCCAGACGCTTTTTTGACCCATAAACTACCTGGAACTCTGCAAACATCTGTAGTACCTACTAAGAGGTGTTTTCTTTAAATGTTATTCCCCTTTCTGCTTGAGGAACAGTGACTAACAACATCTAACATGTTGTTTTGCATGCTGAAGGTGCCTGGCACGTTAAACAGCAGAATATAACCATTAGTTGTCTCATTTGGTTAGCTTGAAGGACTGGTGGTTACGTCTGGCAAACTTCTCACGCATCTTTTTGGTAAAAACAAGTTCACCTTACTTGATAACACTGTGCAGATTCATCATGTTGGGTTTGGATGGTAATTATACTAATGATATGAGCTGCTGCCTCTGCTCTTTGTTAGTACAGTATTGTAATCCTTTTTACATCTAGTCCAGCTATGCTGCTGCCACTTTTTTTTTTGGCTTTACAAGTTTCCTAGGGCAGTTGCTGGACTTTCCACTTGAATAACTATTGATGTATTTCTTTGTGTCAGTGAAATGAATGGTGAAAAGATATGCACGTCTCCCAGCTCTGCTGGGATGTGATGATCACTGTACTGGAAGTTTGGTATATATTATAATTTTAATTATGCCAACTTCTCATTTGTTGTTTGAGATTCTGAAGCTCAAGCAGAAGTTTCTGGCTGTGCTGTTTATATTCAGTCTAAAATATGCTGGACTCTTACCAATACGTTTGATTTTTCCCTGTACCCTGAAGTACTGCCTAATCTTGTTAGTGTAGAGAGAAAGCCATATAATTATTGTGATTTTACAGATTGCTGGAGGTCTGATCTGTGCAGCACCATGGACTCGTCAGAAGAGACTGGAGGCTCCTCTGCAGAAGAAAACTACTTTGTGAACTACACCTTCACTGACCGCTCCCACTCAGGCCGTGTGGCCCAGGGTATTATGAAATTATGCTTGGAGGATGAGCTCTTTGCCGATGTTACAATATCAGTGGAAGGCAAAGAATTCCAGCTGCACCGCTTGGTCCTCTCAGCTCAGAGTTGCTTTTTTCGTTCTATGTTCACTTCCAACCTAAAGGAGGCCCACAACCGGGTGATTGAGCTGCAGGACGTTAGCGAAAGTGTCTTTCAGCTTCTTGTGGACTACATTTACCATGGAACTGTAAAGCTGAGGGCAGAGGAGTTGCAGGAAACCTATGAAGTGGCAGACATGTACCAGCTGACTGCCCTTTTTGAAGAGTGCTCCCGTTTTCTGGCCCGTACGGTGCAGGTTAGAAACTGTCTGCAGGTCATGTGGTTGGCAGACCAACACAGTGACATGGAGCTCTACACAGCTGCAAAACACTGTGCAAAGTCACATTTGTCTCAGCTGCAAGACACAGAGGAGTTCCTACACCTGCCTGTCCGCCTACTGACAGACATCCTTACAGGTAAGGAGTTCTTGAAACTAGCCAGGATGTGGATGTAGAAAGAGACTTTCAGAGAGTCTACCAGGGATTGAATGAAATAAATGGAAAAATCCAAGCTTTCATAATCGCAGTGTACTCAGAGACTTAGCTAAGCAAAGCAAAGCAAAACATTCTGGATAACTTAATCAGAAAAAAACCAAAGCTATTGTTACTGGACATGAAACATCTAAGCTGTAGAAAAGGGTCATAGAGGATGCTGGTAGTTCCCAACAGTTCCTGAGTCAACAGGTTAGAAGTCTTACAGGTTTTGAAACATAAATTCCAAAAATTTGTTGGAGTTTTGTTTGCATTAAAACAAAGAAACCTTACCCAAAATAAACATCTTATGAAAGTCTTTTTTTCCATTTTAGTTCATAATCATTTAACATAGTAATGCTATAACTCAACATTTGTAAGAAGGCTTGAGCACAATCCATATTTTTAGAATATGTTGGTGTTATTTACAATTCTATATAATTATTTAGGCTAGGCACTCAGCTGACTGAAATAGAGGCATTGTAGTGTCTTAGATAATACAGTAACTATCCTTCTTGTAAAGGTAATAGCCTTCCACAGTAATGGATGCAATGACTCAGTGTTGTGAAGGATGTGTCAACACATAAACTTAGTCCGTCCGGCTTGCACCAATCCTTGAAGGTCATCTGCTGCCCTAGTAGGTACAGCCAGTACGTGGTTACTCCTCCAGGATGCAGTCACAACTCAATTTTTGTGCATTTATGTATCATTGCTAGAGGAAGCAGGAATGCAGAAGCAACTCATACATTCAAATATGCCCCTTCCTTGCTTTAATTACTCTTTGTAAATGAGTAAATAACTGCTCTGTGCATCATGGGCTTTATGTGCTGTTACAACAATAAACCTACTATGACCGTCTTCTTTGGAATACTGGCAAATCTGTCCATAAGTCTTAAAATAGCCTTTGGAGTTGATGCTATGCATATGAGAGTCTTTACAGCTATTGCCTTATATTATCTCTATTACATCTAAAGAAATTTTCAATAAAAAAACTATTGAGTGTATGTACTGATAGCTCAAAAATATGATAAAATTAGAGTAATTCTGATAACTATCTAGCTAAAATTTTTAAAGAGCCATTGAGTTTATTAAAAAATCCCTCTAAAATCATGAAATAAAACTCTAGAGGTCAATCACCTTTAAGTTCTTAGGGATTCCACACAGTAATCATAGTTTTAGGACTATGGCCTTTAGTGTTTGTGGTCCTAAATTAAAATAATTGCTCAATAAAACTTTTTTTTCCATGCACCGTCTATTTCCATATATAGAATCACATTACTCAATATTTATGCTGCAACTTAGCTCATAAAATGGATTTAAATCTGAAATACACTCCTGCTGGTAGGAGTGTATTTTGCACTCCTGCAAAATCCTTTGCTTTTGCATTTCCTGCGTCTTTGTTTAGTTAATGAAGAATTAAATAGAGGAAGCTATTAGTAGCAAGGATTAAAATTTATTTAATAAAATAGTAACTTATGAAGTTTAGCTTTTGTTGCACTCTAGGACGAATTTCAAAATCCAGGTTTTTTCCATTTAATCACTACATGTGATGGTTGGCTTATGGAAATCCCTTTTACTAATAAACAGAGTTAAAATACCTGCTTTTGTGCCATGCTTTGTCTCCTCCCTTCCAATATAGAGAAAAGAGTTGGAATTTGTCTGGTGCCTTCAGCATCATTGAATTCAGGGTTTGTCATGAGAACAGACTACAAAATCAGAGAGCCTTCATAGGGAAACTTCTCAGTGAATACAGGCATAATTGCTTGCAAACTGGAAGGAAATACTTAAAATCAGTAATGTACTGACGATGATCATGATGATGATGCAATAGTGTGTGGCTTAACCAAAACTTCCAATTATGTCTGGAGACAGATTGAAATCTGATGCAATCTGTTGAGTGTTTCCTACTGTCACATGGCTAAGAAAAGCTATAGTAGCTCATTGGGGATTTCCAAATGTTAAGAGGATAGCAGCAACACCAGATGTTCAGTCATGAAGGTCAGCTGTCTGACAGGGCTCAGACACATTCTGCAGATGACTTTTGCTAGATAGGTTTCTAGGACCAGCCAGAAAGAAAGGCAGGTGCTGAGATTCTGAATAAGAGAATCTTTTTGCCTAAATGACTAAATAAGAAAATACTTGTCATCAACACACAGCATGTAAATTCTCCTTCCTGCCCTCTTTCTCTTGGACATAGGTTCCTTTGTTGTACTCATCCAAAGCACTTAAGATCTGGCAGCTCTGTCTTCTGATATTTATCCAGACTACTTTCATGTAGTTGTCTGGCTGCCAGTGCCGATCATGCCTGCCAAAACCTATAAATCTCTGTATCGATTTTTCCTCTCTAGAAAGTAGAGTTTGTGGTGGGAGTGGGGGAAGGCCGTCGCAGGGAAAGGATGATTCTGAGTACACACACCTTTGTCTAGATATTATAAATGCCTTTCTGTCCCTGAACTGCAGATGGCGTTCCATGTTCTCAGAATCCAACGGTTGCCATAGAAACCTGGATCAACTTCAACAAGGAGGAGAGAGCCGGCTTTTCAGAGACTCTGCGATCCAGTCTGAAGGTATAAAAAGACCTTCTGTTCTGGGGCTGGTGTAGCACTTGCTGGTTTCACACTTCCCAGGGCAGGGTATTCTGCTCACAGGTGTGACTTTAAAGTTGCAAAACATAAATGCCGTTGAAATTCATGGTGCTTGTGAGAGAATACTTTCATTGTCATAAATAGCAACCCCACTGACAGCTTTTTTTAATATAACCTGATGTTGATATCACTGGTGATTGGAGCAATGCCACAAATACTTTCTTTAACTCGATGCTCAGTTACCAAAGAGACCATTCAGAAATCTACGTTTGGCATTCCCCTTAAAATAACTGTACTCCATCAGTGATGTAACCGTCCCTTATCTAAACCATAAACACTTAGGTTCCAGTGATGTCTCTGGCTATTTTGCTGTCAGATATGGCTGGTATCGTGAAAAGGCCTTGAGGCTCTGAGTCCTGAATGCTGTAGGGTGGCAAGACTGGGAAAAAAGGTTTTATACCTCAGACGCACAGATGGGTCCTAAGCTGAAAAATCCAGTGATGTTTGTGTAAACAGATCTAATTCTCCTTTCTCTCAGGTGATTGGAGAAAATGTTCACATCTACCTGATTGGAAAGGAGTCGTCACGTACACATTCACTCGCTGTCTCTCTACATTGTGCTGACGATGACTCCATTAGTGTGAGTGGCCAGAACAGCTTGTGTCACCAGATCACCGCAGCCTGCAAGCACGGTAGTGACCTATATGTTGTTGGTGGCTCCATTCCACGGCGCATGTGGAAATGCAACAATGCGACTATAGACTGGGAATGGTGTGCCCCTCTGCCCCGTGACCGGCTCCAACACACCCTTGTCTCTGTGCCAAGCAAGGATGCAATATATTCACTAGGGGGGAAAACTCTACAGGACACTCTCTCTAATGCTGTCATATATTACAGAGTACGAGACAACGTCTGGACAGAGACCAGCCAGTTGGAAGTGGCAGTCTCTGGAGCTGCAGGTGTAAACCTTAATGGTGTCATTTACCTGCTGGGTGGGGAGGAAAATGACTTGGACTTCTTCACCAAGCCCTCTCGGCTAATTCAGTGCTACGATACCAACACAGAGAAATGCCACGTGAAGCCATACGTGCTGCCTTTTGCAGGGCGCATGCATGCTGCTGTGCACAAGGACGTGGTGTTCATTGTCGCTGAGGGGGATTCACTGCTATGCTATAATCCCCTACTGGATAGCTTCACCCGGCTATGCCTCCCAGATGCCTGGAGTTCAGTACCATCCCTCTGGAAAATTGCCAGCTGCAATGGCAGCATCTATGTCTTTCGTGACCGCTATAAAAAGGGTGATGCAAATACTTTTAAACTTAACCCAGCCACCTCTGTTGTAACAGTCACGAGTGGCATCAAAGTGCTGCTCACTAACCTGCAGTTTGTCCTGGCCTAAGCAGGAAAAACAGGCCAGTGATAGAAAGGGCAGCAACAGTGTCCTGCTGTGCAGCTTGGAGACACCTACCACCCTCAGCACCAGTCCCAACTACCACAAGCTCACAACATCCAGTAAAGACCCCATTCTCTGTACCTGTGCAGAGGAAGTACAGGCTTTCTGATTGTGGGCCTATTCTTTTACATAGCACTATTGAACTTTATTGAACTCTTGTATCTTAGATTTCAGATTAACTAAATGCCATTACTTTGATTCCTTGATGATAAGCTGCTTGTGTTTGAGGCACAAACTGCAGCAAATGGCTATTTTAGCCTGGAACCAATCTACAAATAACAAATCCTGTGGCATATGGACAACATCTTCCTTGGCCCAGGCTGCTAGTTTTAACTGCCTAGGAGCCCACGTGTTGCTGCCATGTCAATCACAGAGACAGACGTGCACTGTATCCCCCAGGGATATCCCCATTTAAACATTCCTATGTCCTACTGCAGAAGGAGGGCACGGCAGACAGATTCCAGAGCTGACCCTAGGACCTTAAGTAGGTTGCATTCAGCACTTCTAGAGGAGTGGTAACTAACTGGGTACTTGCTTACTGCTCTGTCATCACCTAGCATAAAGAAGGAGATAATTTTTAGACACTGGCTTCCTTTACTGTACAGGGAATCCCCACCTGTAATTATAACATAGTGTTGGTGAAAGACAGAATTAAGACCACTTCCTACTACCCATCTCTGTTGGCACTGTAACCCTTTGGGTAAGAATCTGAATAAAGTCTCTGTTGAGACAAAGGTATTTTTTTTTCCTTTGCTTCAAATACAAATATTTTCAATTTCCTGTGGATTTCCAGTTCAGCTGAGCACTGATATCTGGAAAAGAACTATGAGGCTCCAAGAGAACTAAGATATTAACTACAAGAAAAGAAAGCTTTAATGAAACAGCCCAATTTCCCCTTTACTGTAGTTTATGTAAAAACTTCTTTATTGTTGGTCAAGAAGAACAACACTTAAGCCTTGATTAGATCATAAAAACATTTTTTTAAAGCAGCTGAGATGGGGATTTTGGTAGTTCTTACTGACATTATGCAGCTGTCCCAGTGATCATGTTCCTGTGAAATTTCTCCAGGACCTGGACTTGCTTGTGTCGAATGAGGATGTGGGGACGAATCTTGGCAATGGCCTGAATTGCTTCCTGAGGGCTCCAGTGATGCAGCTGAAAAGGCAGAAACCCAGCAAGTGAAAATCCATTCCATCCCTGCACCATTTAATGAAACCTTCCCAGAGGCTATAGGCAACATTAGAGGTGTTAGAAAACTTACTGCTTCGCCCCTTCTGTTTACTTCACGTTCCTCTCAGAGAAGCCTGAATGTCATGGAATCATTCATGAAATGAGTCCCTCGGTTAAAGAGGGATGGTTGCTGCCCAGGCCCTCCACTTTCTGTCTCGCTTACTCTTCCTTCATGTTGTGAATAGGTTCCTGTCCTAGTCCCACCAGACCGGAGCAAAGGCGCAGCTTGCATTTTTAAATTTTTAAAAAACTTTACTGGTACTCATGTGTCGCACTTCAGCACTTAGTGAGAAAATTTTCCCTTCAGCACTAGTGGAAAGTTTTCCAGGGAGCACTTAATAACACCGACAGAAGAATCCACAGGCAGAATTTTGTTCTTAGGGCTGGCTTACCCAGCCTAATGGTTGGGTCAGTAGAGGAACTCAGAAAACCAAAGTCAGTTCTCTTGATCATTAATTGTATTTATTGAAAAGCATAGGAAGGCTCACCATTTCAGTGAACCAAGGAGAAAATCTGAACAAAAATGGGTGTTTTATCTGCTCCGTGAACCTATCCTCATGAGTGACTTGTTATTCCCACCTCAATCTGTTTCTCCATAGAAAGAATTAAGCACAGCAGAATCATTCAAAACACCAAGGTGAGTTTGAGGCCTCTCTTAAAATAGGTGTACAAACTCTGTAAAATCATGGAATATTAATGAACCTGTACGTGCTCAGGTTTCTTGAGCAAGAGCAAACTATAAAGGTTGTCAGCTTTTGCCTAGACTGTATGAAAGTAAACCCCATTTAGCATAAACTCCTTACTTGAATTAAATATGCTGCTACCATGGTGGCACTGCGGGAGCGTCCTGCCTTGCAGTGCACATAGACAGTGTTACCGCAGGCTCGGTGTTTCAGGATGAAGTCAACGCCCTTGTGGAGGTTTTCCAAGGTGGGGACTCCAGTTAGATCCACAGTGCTGAGACACAGTTGCTCCACTCCCATTGCCTCCCATTCCTGAAATGGACATAGCAGATTTGGTCAGTTAATTTTCTGTTTGGTTTTTTTTTTCTCCCTGAAAGAAACCCAAAACCTGTTCAGACAGTTGAGAAAGTCAGTGGGATTGTAAACAGACTTTGAATGTCAATCCTTTAAATCTAATGTATGAAAAGTTTAGTGCTGACCATCAGAAACGAGTAGTTAAAGGGAACTGAAAAGATGTATTTCAGCTAAAGGAAAAGAGGGGAGTTGGGATCTCTTCCCAAAACAAAAGGCATTCCTGTATAGTGGTGTACATGGATTCAATGCTCCCCGTCCCTCCCCGCCACTGCAGCTGTAACAGTTCACTCGCATCCTCACGTTTTAGTGGTTTGTAAGTAAAGTAAGTTTTAAAGTTGCGAGAAGTCACGTCTTTGCTGTCACAGGACTTGGCGGGCGCTGCCGGGAACGCGGCAGGAGGCGGATAAAGCCTCGCTGCGCCTGGACCGACGGAGCGTCAAGAGACCTGTCCAAGGATCATAGGCAATGCCCGGGCTCACCTGTGGGGAACAGCAGAAGAAGCGGGTCTCGTAGTTCTCGGTGAGGGTGACCACGGCGCGCACGTTCTCCTCCGCCACCATCTGCGGGCACAGGCGCGGTCAGGAACCGCCGCCCTCCCGGCCCGGCCCGGCCCGGCCGCCCGCTCGCCTTACCCTGCGGCTGCGCCCCCGCAGCGGCAGCGCCCCGAGCAGCACGGCCTCGTCGATGCGGTGGAACCAGGGCCGGCGAGACCCCGGCAGCCGCGCCCGCGCCGCCGTGTACAGCAGCGAGGGGTAGAAGAGCAGCCGCGCCGCGCCGGCGCCCAGCGCCTCCGCCACCCCCATCGGCGCCGGGGCCGCGCCGCGCCGGGCCGGGCCGTGCCGAGGGCCGGAGGAGCGTCGCGGCCGCACGCACCGACCGTGAGCACACGGGGCGCCCGGGGCGGGGCCGGGCCGGGGGCGGGCGGGGCCCGGTGGGGCCGGGGCGGGGCGAGGCCGGGCGGGGCGCGGCGGCGGCGGCGGCTCGGGGGGGGCGGGAGCGGGAGCACCGCCCCGGCCCCCCCACCCCGCGCTCCCCGTGGTCTCTCCCGGAAGCGCCGCCATCTTGCGGAGCCGGCCCGAGGCGGCGCAGGGAGCGGAGCGGGCGCGGGCGGATCCCGGGGCAGGTGAGGGCGGTGCCGCCGGGAGGAGCTCGGGCCGGGCCGGGCCGGGCACGGCGGGGCCGAGCCGAGCCGAGCCGGCAGGAAGCGCGGTTCGCCTCGCGCAGGTAACGGCTCCTTTCCCCTTCGCCCCCAGTTCCCCGGGGCTCCCGCCGCGAGGCCGCTCGTGCAGGGCCGCGGCGACTGCCCTGCTCCCCTCCGCGGGGCAGCCACCGCCGCCCTGCGTGCGCCATCCTGGGGCGGTGCCGCGCCGGCGGGGCCCGGGGCCGGAGGCTGCCGGGTGCCGTGTGTGATCCGGGCGCTGACAGCGCCGCGGGCGGTGGCGGGGGCGCTGCGGGGGCGAGCGCGGCCCGCGGCGGCGGCGCCATTGGGGCCGGGGTGCTGCGGCGGAGCCGGGCGGACCCCGGGGCGGGGGAGCGGCTCCCCCGGGTTCGGGCGCCGCCGGCCTGCCGGGCTGGGCGCTTATCGTAGCAACCGGCGTGCGGTTCCCCGCTGTCCTCGGCGCGGTGGGGTCTGTCCTCCGGAGCAGTGAAACGTTTGCTGGTGCACCAGGGAGCGGAGGTTGGTCGGGTGTACGAGGAGCGCGAGCAGGGAAATTGGAGTTCGGCACAATGTGAGGAATTGCAGCCTCAAGCGTGAGAAGGCGTGACAGACACTGCTGGAATGAAGTAGGAAGAGGAATATAAAAACCAGGAGAGACGGAGCATAAAAGAGATGATAAGTGATTGAAGAAGAAAAAAGGTCGATAACCGCATGCGATTTTTATAGGACTGTTTATGAGTAGGAAGTTGAGAGGCAGCGTTCTAATAAAGTGTGAACCTTCACTCCTTTAAATTCCTCAGGAATTGTGGCCCATTTTCACCTTTGAGATACAGGCATTCTCTTCTGCCAGAAGTTGTCGGGGAACATTTTTCGAATGTTGCAGCTTTCTTGTATGTACTGCTTGAGTGTGATTGTTGGGTGTGTTTCACCAGGAGTTCGCTTGATTTAAAAAAGTATTTGGTGGGGATTTATATCTTGAAGTATGCTTTGCTCACAAGACCTTGAACTTTTTGAGTATATTTAATTTCTGGTTTTAATTTATTTTTTGTGTATGTATGTCCTGCCAGTCCTGCTCTTTGTACCAGTGATCACAAAAAATTGCTAAATTGTCTCCTGGTCTCTTTTACTGTCTTCTCTGTTGTTTTTCTATAGGGTAGTTCAACAGATAGATTTTACTGCACTGACTTGGTATTGCATAGCCATAACGAACGCGTCACATTTTCATTTTTTTTCCATTCCCCTCAGCTCTTTTCTTGGGATCTCTGCATAATGTGAGATACTGTATCTTCCTGGAGTTGTGTCTGGACCCAAGTATTTAAGAGGCAGCGTTGTTGGAAATCCTGCTGCTGCAGTAGGTGTTCAGAATTAATAAATACATCTTTAGACTGAGATAGGAAATATTCCGGTGGGCAGAGATTGCATCCAGCAGCTTCGTATGTTCAGTTGCATTCCTGCCGATGAAGAGCCCCCCGGGGCAGCAGCGCGATTCTTATATCTGCTCAGGGACATGGGTGCAGATATATACCACCAGTAAAATTCCTAAATAGGGTTTTTAAAATACAGTGATGTAAAGAACTATTTTTTCTTAAGGTGCTTACTGTTCTCTTTCAGCCTGTGCTCACATTCAAAGTTATTGGTGATACTTATTCTGGGAAAGTGTAGGATGTTTTGTGGAGTGTGTTCACTCTTTCTGAATGATCATTCTTGGATGGCTGTGTTTTTCCTTTCCCTGTCAAAGTCTCTAATGTTACATTAGGGAAAAATCAGTCCCAGATCCTACCTGCTTAGTTACGTTTGCCCTTTTGTATCTACTTTTTTTTTTTTTTGGGTATTTGAAGCAAAGTAGTTGATGCAGGCCTAGGAAATTCTGTTTACATGCAGAAGAAAGTGGGAACACAACCTCTGTAGAAAAGTAGAGGATTGAAAAGTGATTGTCCTAAAATCATGAACATTAAAACGTGAAGATTTATGTGTTAGGTAGTTTTGTTTTAAAAGTAAATGGCTTACAATAGTGAGAAGAACTTATCCATCTTTCACAATAGAAGACAGGTAAAGAACTCCATGGTATTACAGAGTGCTTAATAGTGAATTCACATTTTTCCTAGTCCTTCACAGTTTGATACACTCATAAGATGATCTTTATGTGGTAAGAGGAAGGCGTCTTTGACTTTTATTTCTTCTGCTATGAGTAGGGATTCTGAAAACATGCTGCCTGGCACTGTTTCCCTAAATGGGAAAACAAGAAAGGTGGCAGTATCATAGGTATACAATAATTGTCTTTCTCATTAATAATAAATCCATAACTTGCAAGT